CTTACCTGCATAGAAACGTAACAAGGAGCCAATTTCTGTGTTAAGCCCTTCCTCTTGAACTCTCCAGGGGTCCTTAAATCCAAGCTTAAAGAGAAAGTCATTCTGGATCTGCAGAGGCCTCTCATCTGGGCTAAGCCTCCTGACAGCTTCACCATGCAGCTGCACATACAGCGTGGGGCTAGAATCACAGGAATTTCCATTGTGGTCTACTGCCAGCCCTGATTTTGCAGCACCTTGGCCGCAATCCGGATCTTGGATGTCAGGTGTATTACCTGTAGAACAGGCTCTTGACAATGAGCCGGCACTATTGCTGGGTGGCAGGCTGCCCAGACTGTGTGAATTCAGTCTGCTATCTGGCCCCATATTGTTTGTCATGTCATTTAAATGTCCCATGCTGCACTGCTCATAGTTGGCTGTGACAGCAGCGATGCCATTGGTGTGATGCTGAGAGATGGGGTCCATGCTCGTGTTCGACGCAGGACAGTCGAGCTCCAGTTCGTCCGAGGAGCTGCCATACATGTCGTGGCCCTCTGTGGCACTATCAAACGTGGGGCTGAGGATGGATGCCTCTGTGCCCAGGATCATGTCATCACTGAGGGAGTCCCTGTGCTCGCTGAGCCGGGCCCCGGAGCTCAGGTCATCGAATGCACTGCTCTCCACATCCGAGCCAGAATTTAATCCATAGCTGTCCACACCGTTCCTGTGCTCTGAGTCATCATCATTGGGGGTATCCATGTTAGAGTTAGAATTTAAATCTGATAGAGAACAGGTTATGTTGTCTTGTGACTCCGATTCAGGGGTGAAAAGTTTTCCGTCAACGTCCTGTTGCTTTTGCCTCTCATCTGCATTCTCCATGAGCAGCAGTCTCAACCTGTCGCTCGGATGGCCCCTTAATTCTGTGGATTCCAGGGGAGTCAGGTGGTTGCATTTTATACTAGAATCTTCAATCACCTTGCATGGGTTATCATTATATTCATACTTCACATTGCAGTTGCCATTTTGGTCAGTCTTGGGGCTATCTTTACAAAAAATACGCATTACGGAGCTCGACTTACTGCAGAGTTTACTCAGACGGAGCGCCACCTCGCCGGCTGTGGTGTCCATAGTGCAAAGGACCGGCCTGGGATATGAGGGCGTCAGTCTGTCGTGGACGTGTATGGAGCCCCGGTGGAGATCTGCTCTCACCCACTCGCGATCTGCGGGCTGCAGCTGCATGTTCTGTCGGTGCTTCAGCAGAGTCTTCCGATCCAGACTCCGGGTATGTAAAGACGCAGAGGACAGGGCCGAGTTCATCTTGGCGCCGCAGGCGGCGGTGACAGCTGAGGTGGCGGTGGCTGCAGCTGCGGCGGAGAGGTTCCTCTTCAGGCGCCTCCGTCTCAACAGGAGAGAGCTGGAGTTGCTGGATGAGCCCCGGCCATTAGACGCCACAGTTCGGTTTGACGCACTAAATCCCGCTGTAGAGGCAGAATGAGAGAGGCAATTCCCGTTTTTTGCCTCTACGCGGGAGGGTGCCAAATGTCCACCGCCATCATCCACTGGAGTCCCCCGGGCGACAGACAGTCCGCTGGGTTTCTTCGTTAACTTGGTCGCACCTCCATCCGACGCGCCATCCTCAGCGACAGCCTGCACACTTTCCATCTCTGCCAATGAAAAGTCCCCCACTCTAAATAAATAACGGTGCGCACTTGGTTACACCTACAACATCTACATTTAAAAGCCTGAATACGTGCCCGCCGTGCTAAATGTCCGCCAACTGGGCGGTGTTGCTGACTTATTCCACTAGTAGTCATTCACTTCTTGTCTTCCTTTCCCTGTCGGAGTCTCCTCCGCTGCTCCAAAAAAACATTTTACCGATTAAATTCGCTGGGAAGAGGAGGCAGGGCGTGCAGGGACAGAGCGGGGCGGAGACGTGACAGTGCGTCCCATTTGGACCAAAAATACAGTGCTGGAATATGAAATGAACGTCGGCCGACCTCCTACGCAAATGCCGACTGATATATATTCATGAGGAGGACACAAGATGGGGTCGCTAACAACAACGCAGTGGGTTGTGGGTAGTGTATTGTGCTAGTAAGCGCCGCGCCGACGCCGCTGTTTAGAAAGAAATAATGTCATAACTACATTTCCCATGAAGCCTTTCTTCGGTTTCAGTCTAGTGAGGCGGTGAACAGATGAGAGGAGTAAACATAGCTCGTATAAAATGTTTGGAGTGCTGCTACAGAAGTACGTCCTCTTATCTGCCGGACTGTTGTGTCTGCTGGTTAGCTCCGTGCTAACTGTAAAGAAAACTATCACGTTGGTCAATGGAGCTGCTCATTTAGCCGGAACTTACCAGCTGTCAACTGTTGAACAGGCCACATATGAACTTTCAACTGTCACTTAATTAGGATTCCGTCCACAATTAGTTTCACTCAGTGCAGTTATTTCCTATTAATAAAGTCCTTCAAATTCCGCTGTATGGAAAAATTAAGCTTCCCTGCGGGTCCAATTATTTTAGACTAGTGGTGACGAGGCAAATAACTTCAGCACCATCTCATCAGGACGCCATTTCACACAAGGCCATAGTACAGTCCGGCTCAGTGCACACGCTCTTATTCTCTTGTGTTTCTCGCCATCTAGTGGAGCAAACCGCAAGGCTTGAGCTAAACATTTCCCCGCTGAGGACACAGAGGAAGGCCGCGGTGGTTTGCCGGTGTTTCCAGGTCATCCTTTTTCTAAATGTGATGCAGGTAACAGGGTTATACTATACGTGCAAAATCAGTTTCACTGGCAAATGGATGCATGGTTTCTGCTATAGAACTTAATGTTGAAAATCATATTGTTTGGCCTAAATATAAATGCAACGTTTTGCCAGACAATATAAAAGAGAAAAGCTTTCTTTTTCAAGTTGATTTAACTGAAAATAGAAACAAAATTAATTTGTGTGTAAAACTTAAACTGAACTTAAACAACTGTCCATATCCCTAATGCATGTAAACACTGCACTTAACCTATGATTTTAATTCACACTGGTAAAAATAAATAAATTTAAAAAAATACAGTTTTCCATTAAAATTATTAATATCATATATAAAATAGTTTACAGTCAAATTTATATTATCCCGAAACTTTTTTAAACCTATACTGTTGAATATAGTGTTATCGCTGTCTGCACTTGTTCCCAGGGTTTTATTTAAAACAACTTTATTTTTCCAATTTCAAACCCATATCAACCTCAGCTTTTGCATGTGCATTTGGCAGAAGTTTATCAAGGTGGCAAGGTGACATTTTTAATAGTGAAGGGCCAATAAATGTACATATTCCTACATTAATTTTTGCTGTGATGTACTTTTTAACAATTGTTTTATGCTATAAAAATAACTTGAACCAACATGTCCATTATGTTCTCCATTGCAAAAAGTATTGTTTTGAGTGTTAAGCTCAAGCATCCCCAGTCTTACATCTACATTTTTAGAATCATATTTTTAATATCTAAATTGCTAAGCAGATTTGTAATGTGTCACTTATTAGCAGTCACTGCCATGTCTTTCTTGGTTTAAAATAGGAAAATAGGATGAAGGAATTCCTTCATGGTTAAAGCCTCAATGTGTTTCACCCAACTTATTTAAATTCAAGTATGGACTGCAGTGTATTTAAGGAATAATCTAACACAAGTAAATATGAATATAATTAAAATAGAGAGTAACGTACTAAATCTACAATGAGGGTAATTCATCAAGCAAGCTAGATTGCAAAGAATCAACTTAACTTTTAAATATTGTTTTTGGCAATGGGCTTGGAGGCTGTTGAATTTGTAAGAGGTGCAGATACTATATGAATATGTCTACAGCAAATTAGCCCAGATTTTTTTCTAAAATATCCAAAGTAATAATGCATACAATACAAATGCATTCAGAGATGGAATTTAATTGGCATGATGTATCCTTTACATGGTATTCTGTATTTCAAAAATGAAAAAAAAAAGAACACTTTCAAATTCAGGCATTTGCTCCATCGACATGTAAAAGGAAACAGATTATTGCTGAATTCATGTTCCTTGATTCCAGCAAAATGGAAACCTCATGCTCAGCCCGGTGGCTCAGGTTGTTTCGTAGAGCTGAAAATGAGAACTGTCTTTGTGTAGATTCATTCCTATTATGCCCTATTATACTGAACCTATGGATGGAAAAATTCAAATAATGGCATGATGATGCTGGAATCATACAGAAGCTGGTTCTAAGACAAAAAAGTGCCCCATATTTCAAAGTCTCTGAGATTAGATGACCCAATAAAATTTAGATTTTAAAAAAAGGGGGGAATGTGACATGAGATTGACCTGTGCACCGATTCAGAAGAGAACTGCTCAAAACTGTAACAAAACCCCTGAAGTGCAAAACGATTTTCTGTGTTCTCAGTTCCCAGTTTGCATTGGGTCATCTATCCATCACTGGTTGAGGCCTTGAAATTAAGGGAGAGCACATTTTCCTTTGCAGACAGATGCATCATCATAGGTGGCCAACAGTCTTTCACCTCTCCTACTGTTCTTTATGACAAACAACAATTTCATATTGCAACTTTAAAAGTAATACAGTAAAAAATAATAAAAATATTCTGTGTACATAAAGCTTATGAGCATTGGAATACTGGTGTAGGATCAGTGATCAGATAACAAGACCATTAAAGTGAAAAGACAAACTGGTCACAGATCAGAAATCCAACAATATTTTACACACTTGGGCCCTGACCTTGAAACGGTGACCGTTGTAAAGCCAAACTCTTAACAGTGCAAAGAATTTTTGCAATAAAAATGTAAAAACCCTGACTCGTTGAATCCACTAAAATCAGTGTCATGTTTTGTTTTGTTGTTGTTTTTATGTTTGTTTTTGTTTTTTTTACCAGAGAATGTGTCGTTTCAGTGATAGATTTGAGAATTGAATCAAATCTTGTCCGAATGTGTTGGTGAGCTGTTGAACAGGCAGGTTTGTCTTTTTTTTCCTTTTTTTTTTTTTTTTTAGGTGGATCAGTCAAGAAAAATGCAGAAAAAAGTCCTCCTGAATAAAGCTTTCCTAAAGTAAAGTATAAAAGAAAATTAAAACCCTGAAGTGAGGCGGAGTGTATAAGCACAATAAAAAAAATGGTGGGGATACACCTGCAGTTTAACCTTTTCTCTACAAACAACAAATATTGCTTGATCAGAAACGTATTATGACATGAGTAAAAAAAAGTATAGTTTAAGTGTATAATACAATGCACATTATGAGCAAAGATCATTAAACACTGCTGCAAACAAAAAGAAATGTAAGAGATAACAATGTGGCGAGAGTAACTCTTGGTATTTTGTTTTAAAAATCATCAATCCAAAGAGTGGGAACATGTAGCAACATGTAAATGAATTGCCTCTATAAAAAAAAAAAACAATTAAAAATTAACAAAATAATATAAAACAGATACTTGTTGCACACACTGGAACCAGAATATATCTGCCAGCTGCAATTCTTACATGAAATTTATAAGATTCTGACATGAATGAAGCTTGGTCAAGCATGATTCTTCTTTAAATGTTACTTTCCTTCCTTAGTATAAACAAAATGTACATTTGGAGAGAGCGCAGGCTTTGCCCAAACTCCCAGATTCACAGTTAGCAATTAGATGTCAACATTGTCGGTACAGTGAGAATTGCACATATGAGGGTTGAAGAGAAGTCTGGACTACATAGTAATGACACAGAGGGGACTCCAGGGGGTGCTATAGTCTGAGAAAAGCAGAAGAAAAAAAAAAACATATTGCACATGATTCTAATGTTGGACCCCTCCCTCCCTCCTGTGTGTCGTTCTAAGCAGTTTCCAAAGTCCCAGCAGGTGCGGTGAAGATAGATCTCCTGCTGATATGGTGAGCTCAGAACAATCAACCCCGCATCCTGGCACAGAGTTGTCCATAAGGGCTAGAGGAATCAAGGGGGGAGGAGGACGGCATAATAAAGAGGAGGGATTAAAGCAAGTCCACTGAGACAAGTCCACTGGTGTGTTATTGATGAACCAAAAAGGTACAGTTGCCCTCAGCAGATTTCGCAAGTGTCAGTCAATTGCAAACGAATTCTCTCCCGCCGTCCAAATCGCCGCAGAACTGAGCGCCTGCCTAAGAGCTCAGCAGAGAGGTTGAAGAGACAGTCGAGCAATTTCCACAGAGGGGCGATGTGAATCAACTGGAGTCATTATGTGCTACTACAGTGGATAGAGTAGTGGGTGTCTGCATCTTGTGGTGTAGTACCGACTCAGTTGTGTGGGTCTTGAAAAGGCATTTCAGAAGACATGGCCTTATTGTAGAAACGGGCACCATTTTACTGTCCAGCACTTAAGGTTCTCAGTGGAGGAGAGCGCCGCTCCGGCACTGCTCGAGACAGTGGTGGTCTACTATGGTCTGTGAAACCTAAAAATACAAACGGGAAAGAAAAAGAGGACTGTTTCAAACATTTCATCACATTTCATCACCTCAGTTAAAAACTCAGTACACGCTGTACAGCCAAGACCTACAGCACATGAATAAGCTCCGGCCGTATACGAGGCGTGCATAGCAACGTGAGGATAAACGGATTCTGCATATTACCTGGTTAAATGGCGACTTGACTCGTGCACTTCCATCTCATTGCTCTTGAAATCATTGAGTTCCTTCCGTATAGCTGCCTGCAGAGCACAAACAAGGAGGAAGATTGAGAGAAGCCGCAAAGGCTTAGTACACAAACTGCAGCCTCTAAGCCCTGACTCTACCTCCTTTTAGCATGCTTCATGCATCATTTACGCTTATCTCCAGGCCATGAATGATTCTGCTGAATTCTCTTCTCACATCACAAGAGCCTTCAATTTCCTCCTCTTGAGACATCCAAGAGCCAGAACAATAATATACAATCTGTCGCTGGTCTACTGGGGTAGTCAGCTTGTGTTTTTAACCATAATGAAGTCTTGATACCATGGATTTACATGGATGGCAACACACATCCTTCTCAGTTTCAACCAGTGCAGTTTTTTTTTTTTAAAGAACATCAAAGCTGTATATTTAATATTTTTGTTCCAGTCCTTGGATCAAAAGCTCAAAGTAATAATATACATTTTCGGTGTGAAAAATAATCACAAATGATGGAAAACATTGGAAATAAAGTTAGTTGTGCTCTTACTGTTTTAGTAAGGGGCAGTGTGGTAGTGTCACACACATGTAGGCCTCACCTCATCTTTCACTATGTTTTTTAAAAACATCTCTTTTCTGGGAAGGTTTTTGAGCACTAAACAGAGCTGTTTCCCATTCATGTAGTTCAACAAATTCAGATTTGGGACATTGTCTAGCAAATGGTGGCTGCTAAGTAGCAGCACTAGAGCAGTAGAGGGCTGAGTGCTTTGCCCAGGGGCAGGATAACTGCAAAGAGATTCTCAGAGTGAGAATGAGTCAAAGTTCCAGGAAATAAAACAGTGTGCTGAGCCTTTTTTAAAAAAAAACGTTACATCCCCTCGAAAATGTCATGTGTGACAGCAACCCAGCCGGGTGATGTCATTGCTTTTGCTCTTCAGCATGACTCAAGGGGACGTCTCCAGCCTTGGGGAGGATGCTTCTGTTACAGGAGAACAAACAATATTCAAATCTGTGCTCGACGGTAGGAACAGGAGAAAAAAAAAAAAAAGAAAAAGAAAGAAAAGAAAAAATGTCAGCAGAGCAGCGTAGCGGCCGAGGGGTCCTGAGGCACTGCTTGTCCAATTACTCTCTTATGTAAGGGGAGTTGTTGCGCAATCCAAATGCTGAATCCCTGTGATTTTCACATGAGTGGTCCTCAGGTGTGACTAGGCGTGTTCAGAGCTGTGCATCAACTAAGCAAAGAAGGCAGAATATATGCTACACAAAAAATAAAAAAATTAAAAATAAGAAATCAAGAACTCATTAAAAGTCAGAGGCATGGACCGCTGGGCAGTGAGCAGCAGGACTGCTCCGGGGTGTTTACTCACAAAGGGGAACAAAACAGCTGAGGTGGAGCTTCCCGTAACAAGAGAGGAAGAACACATCCTCCTGCCATTACTCTCCTGCGCTACGGGTTGCATCATATGAGGCACAGAGGGGTGGGGGTGGAGGGGGTGAGTGTTTGAAGAAATTTGAAAGCAGACAAGGAGGAGGGATCTGGAGAATATTAAAAGATTATCTCAGTTTAACTATAAGATTAGTGTAAGTGATACTGGCCTTGTCAGCTGCTGTGAGCCGGGTCCAGGGCTTATCTGCCCGCCTGTCGTAGTCCTGGGCATCTGACACCTCCACATAGTCACTGAATCGGATGAGAATTTTGGCCTGTCTCAGCTCCTCTACTGTGGGCCTTTGGCTCAGCTGGAACAAGAGCGAAAAAAAAAAAAAAAAAAAGTTGGACAACAGAAACTTGGTTAAAGTTCAGTTAGTACCTTCTCAGATTTTGCATTACTTGAAGTCCTTATAGAAACAAAAACATCCAGTGTTTCTTATGCAGCTACATGAGAAAGCAGCATCAAATTACACAGTTTCAGTTCGTGCAGACCCCCCCCCCAGTGTACAGGGTCTTTATTAAACTCACAAAGAATAAACTGTTAAGGGTCACAGTCCACAGCTGATTACATTCTTAGATACCACGTATGATCCTCATGAAATGATCTATTGCATTGACGTAATAATAATAATATTAATAACAACCAATGAATCTAATTATGAAACATTGACTCATTACAACAGTCTTAAAATGGGTTACTAAATCTATTCTAATCTACATTCCCCACCAAAAACCAACTCAACCTCACCAATTAATGAAATAAGTCTGTCATAAACCCATTTTAGATAGAAACCAACATCTCAAACCAAAGGACAAACAAATATAAAGCAATATACACTATTAGAGCCAGACTGATAGACCGGCCAGGCTAATATTTACTTATTGCTGATATCAGTATAAGCTCATGAAATGTCAAAGGTGGTTTAGAAACAGCAATTTTGCTCCTCAGTACATACCCTGATCAAAAAAGCTGTCAGGCTGCATTATACACACTATATTTAGGTACAATAATACAGATTGGTTACCTACACGTGCAATGCTCTTTAAATGTGTGGAAGTGTGATATACAGCACGAGCATTTTGTTTAAAACATTGTACGCAATGAGGCGTTTGATGCATACAATGAATTCCCTCAACAGCTGTGAGATTTTTGTTTTGAGCATGTCTGCAGGTGAGCAGAAAGTGTTATTCTTTAATTGAAAGTGATGGGAACATGCTCAACACCTCCCTATGGGGTCAAAGGCAGTTTGCCAGCCAACATGCTGAAGGGCTAAAGGGCATCGAGGACATCCTTGTCTCCTGGGTGAGACCTGAGAGCAGCCCTGTAACAGACTAGATCGCTCTCCTCACCACAGATGAGTCACTGTCACGGTGTTTGTTTATCCTGGCCAACAATTTACCCCCTCCGAGTGCTTTAAGATCAGGTGTGGGTTTGCACCTTTTGAGCTATTTTGGACTCACCTTTCTCGTTAGCCTCCGTTTTATCTCCCTCTTCTCCTCCATTTCCTCTTGCTCATTGCGAGCTGCAGAGAATGACAGGATTAGTGTCGAGTTAGTCGACTGTGTACGAAATGTTTAGAAATTACTGGAAACGGGAACAAACACACCATTTGCATAATATGGCTCATTAGATTCCCACTCTACTGGATAAGTTTCTCAAAGCTCAAAATAGTTTCCATCACTGGCTATTTAATATATTAGGAATGGGTATCAGGGGAGAATGATTGCTTTGTTCCTTTCAACTTTTTTTTCTTTTTTCCTTTCAACAAAGGAAGAAGTGTTGGTCACATTAAGTTCGTGTGTTACATCTCTCTAAAATTCATACATGTGTTGTACGATATATTCCGAGCCAATTACGAAGACAAAAACCTCCAGCTCAGAGAGGCAGGTTAAAAAAAGAGACGAGAGTAAACAGGAACCATACTGGGACGCTGCTCCTGTTTGCAAAAGCTTCAGCAGTCAAACTGCATTTGTGCCTGTGCTGAACACATAATGTATCTATAGTACTACTCACAGTTTGGGATTCTGGTGTCTCTCTAGAAAATAAAGCCTCATTTGTTTAACCTTGGCACTGTATGTGTTTGAGTGACGGGGAGGACATGACTTGTCACTCATGAATTGGTAGACTTTGTGTTTTGCTCCTGCACTCTGCCAATCACGCAGGAGGCCTCTGGGAGAGCAGCGACTGCTGGTAAATCAGTCTTTGATGCGAGTGCCGCAGAGTCTCAGGCAACAGAACTGCTTCTCTCTGATAGTGCATGTGTTTGAGCCATGAAACCAGTCTCTCTGGACATGACTCCTCAGGGAGCCCCGCCGCCTGCCTGCACGCCCGTCTCACATGAATAGGCAGACCAAGGAGGAATAAAAAGGAAGAGATGTATGTCACTAGCTTTCACATAACTAGGCCTCTCAAATCACCAGGCCGCACTGTATGAAGTCTGCTGCTACAAATATAGACTCATGCTTCCGCTACAATGCCTCTAATGAGTTGTCACACAGGTAAACAGAACATTTGGAGTATTTTGACATTTTTGTTAAACTGTTCACACTTTACAATTTACTTCAGCAGCTTAAAGACAATGTGAAATATCCAAGTTTAACACACTCACGTTTGAGGATGTTCCTCTGCTCTAGCTCCTCTGCTGTGGGCCTCTGACTCAAGCGCCTGGGGAGACACATGCATCCATGGTCAGCACATAATCACAGGCAAGAGGTCAACAGTGCATCAATTTGGGGAAAAAATGCTTCAGTTTTTAATGCAAATCAACCTACTTAATGTAAAATTAAATGTAAAAGACAAAAGAAAAAGTCACATAGTGACACAGATCAGAGAAAGTTGTTTGATTTATTTTTTTCTTTCACACATTTTGAAGTATTTACTTCCCTGCTTTGACAGCTACTCCCAGCAAAGTTATCTTATTGACATTTTGACTCGCAGCATGAATACTTTTAGATCCGACAACCCCGGCCTAAACATACATTAACTCATTGCCTCCGGCACGACTTATTTATGAGCAATAAAGTTTCATATTCTCTTTATTTGCATAGTTTAAAGATTTGCATCTTATCCAAGTTCTTTCCTCATAACAGCTTGACAAGTGCACTTCCCACAAACATCAGTCAGCCACAATCACCAGTCCCTCTCCTCTAAGTGAATGACTGCATGATAACACATTGGTGCAATGCAGGAAGAAGGCCAGCAATAGAGGGACATTACTGAAGACTCAGCTCCCGTATGATGCTGAATACAGCTAATGCGATTACGACACCTCCAAGTGCCAACTGAAAGGCTTCAACACTTGCACATCTGCTAAAGTAAACCTACCGCGCACACATTTACACAGAAAAGACACACGGAGAAGGACAATCAGACGATGCTGCCTCCATCGCATTTTTCTTTTCTGCAACATCTGAGGAGATTCATTTTGCACAGATTATCTCCAATTTCCTCAATTTGTAAGTGGAAAAAATGACTAAGATACCCAAAGGCAATCTCTGAAAGGTCATCCAAAGTGCTTTCAACTGGGGACTCTTATTATAGCACCGTGTCAGGACCCTGCGGCAGTAGCCCTAACTGTAGACACTGGATCAATGACTGTCTCCATCGCGCTCGACCTGACAGCCGTCTGAAAGTGCTCAGCCCCGTCAGCTACTGTATGCAGACTTAGGTGTGTGTGCTCGGCCCGGCTTGTCTCATCTCATCGCGTGTCCTTTCTTCTTCCACTTCAGTGTTATCGTTCCGGGGAAAAGTCAAGACACTGACTCTCAAACTGGAGTTCTGCGTCTAACTGTATGGACTGTGCATTATATGAGGGTTACGCAGGCAAAAAGGCAGCAGCTATTGTCAACAAACTGGCACAGACTAGTCAAAAACATCCATTTGGAGCAACCAATTTCTGTCATGGGCAAGGTTTATTTTAAGCAGCGTCAGCCTTGTTAAGCGTCTGTTTGCCTGCTCTGTGCAATTTGAAATAGTATGAATATAATGAGATTATATAAAAGGAGTTATGCAAGGATTTATGGAGTAGCTAATATGAGGGGCAATTTATTAAAAGCTGCACTAATCAATGTTTTTACGGTAACAATGGATAGGTTTGATGACTATGTGAAAGGGGTCACTGGTAGTGATATAAATTATTACTTCAGCTTTATGGAGTGTTTAGCTTTAGAGGTGCTGGTAGGCAGATGCTTTTGGTTTCTACACAGTGTCAGGCTAGCTGTTTCCCCCTGCTTCTAGTCATTATGCTAAGCTAAGCTAACCATCTCCTTGTAGCTTCATATTAAAAGCAGATACGAGAGTGGTATCAATCTCTGGCCGTGAATAAGCATACTGTATTTCCCAAAATGTCAAACTTAATCCTTTCAGAGAGATAAACTACTTAATACATGAAATCCCATTAAAAGCCAACAATAAATAAATAGATAAAAAAAAAAATCACAATAAACCAAAGACAGGTCAACTTTCTCAGGAGAAAAAAGCTGAATCTCTTAGAGATAAAGCGTCTCCGAGGTTTTCCCAGTGAAACAGGTCAATAGAGGAAAGTTGAGGTCAGTATGTCCTAGAATAGCATTATCATAATCAATTTTAATTGGCCTGGCACAGGCAACAACATTACAAGACACAATGCTGTTGGCAAAAAGCATGAAATTAGGGAGTTGTGCATTGGATGACAACGTGCAAAGGACACTGTGACAGAGCTTTTTGGGAACGTGACAACTAAGCAGGCAGGCCTTCTGGGAACCCGCTCTGTGTTCCAATCACAGTGGGGAGCAGTGACTTGTTTGCCAATGTCTCTAGATAATTCGCCATCCCTCCCATGCAACCACATTTTCCACATTTCATATCTTATTATATTATTCTGGCTTTCATTTCTACCCATACGCTTGGTGGTCTTTTCTCCTCTCAACACATCATTACCCCCCCACTTCATTTGGACAGGCAAGTCATGTTCAAAGTGAAATCAAATGAGGCCTGTGATCCGTTGCGGAAAAACATGATGTTGTTTGATCTGTTCAATTACATGAGTTCTTATTTATGATCTCAACATATGTATACAAATTCCTGTGATTTGCACACACTTCACCAGTGTACTGTGTGCGTGTGCTTTTGTGTGTGTGTGTGTGTGTGTGTGTGTGTGTGTGCGTTTGTGTAAACTGCTGGTATGAAGTGGCTTGCGTGGTGCTGCTGTGTGGAGGAGTCGGGTGGAGATAGTTTGGCACATGCATCACCGTGGTGATTCAGTGAGCGAGGGAGGAAGTCAGGCAGGAGGAAGAAAGAGAAGAGGAGAGGAGAGGAGAGAGAGAAAGAGAGAGAGAGCGCTAGAGAGAAGACAACAGAAGGAAAAAGGAGAGGGGAGGGCGATGCATCGCTGAAATTAGGTCAGCTCCATTTACAGAGCCTCATTCTAACGAGATAAAGCGTTTATCCTTATCGGATGTTGAGAAGGAAAAACTGACAGGATATAAAAGTCTTTCGATTGAAAAAAGGCTCACATTTGCATCAGCTTTGGACTGCGTCACTCTTTACCAGCCAGGATATTGGGCCATCGTCAGCCCAAAGTAAGACAAAATGCTCGGTTTGGCTGAGAAGAGTCAGAGCCGTTTCTTGGCAGCTGTTGTTGTCGAGCTGGCTACGGCAAACGTCAACCAGGTTTACTGAAAATATTTGGCCCATGAATTGTGCATGCGTGTAAATGTATTTGAGATTAAAAATGCATGTGTTTTTACGTGTCTCACCTTGTGAGTTTGGTGCCTATCTGCTGCCTAGACTCCAGTCTCTCCTCATCTGTCTGCATGGGCAGGATGTTTTTCTCCTCCAGCTCTCTTTTGGATGGACGGTTACTCAGCTTGATGGCCAGAGAGTCTTTCCTGAGCACCTTCTGAGCCAGGGTACCTAAACATGCAACACCACGGACAAACATGACACGACATGAAGAGATAAAGCACACATCTGGGGCCTAATTTAACAAAATGTTCTTTTAATTGCTTTCCACTACATCTCCCACACATTTTTAAATAGTTTATACCTTGAGACTCAAATGACAGGTAATGTCATCAATTACTGTTGATTGCTCACATAATGTTGCCTTTTTTTGTTAATGTTGTCTTTACTTTTTTACTTTCTTGTATTTTAAAGAAAGCCAGACATTTTATCATTGACAGAAATAGGTTGAACACTGCACTCAGCTTGACTGCGGCCTAAACTACGGTGGTTTTTGACTTGACTTTCTGCACACTACATCACATGTGAACTTATTTATAGAATTGGAAAAAAAAAAAATCGTTTCTAAATCAAGTTTACTGTGACTTTAAGTCTTACTCATCTTTCCAATGCCCTTTAAGGTCATGATGTGGCATATTGAGCGAATCCATCGCACATGAGCAATCACAACCTTTAAAAACTCCGACATGCAACCATGTGAAAACAAGGACAAAGTGTCAAAGACATGCTCCGCACAGTTCAGCAATTTTCGCTAAGAGCCGGTGAGAGGAAGTGTTTCCATGGGTGACGGCATGATTTTTTGGATACACTTCTGTGAACCGAATTTAGGTTCCGCTTTGAAGGTCAGACTACATCTCAGTTCCAGGAACCTTCAGATGAAGCTAGCAGCTCTGTTGATCATGATGAGTCAAACAAATGTGTCATCGTATCTGCAGACATGAGCTATCATCGGCAACAGTATAGGCAGACAGTTCTTCAGGCACACCATGATTTTTTTTTGGTCGCTCTTAAACCTGCCTTCACCTTCACCTTCACCTTACAACAATGGAAGAGAAAAATCCTAAATAAGGTGCAAAAGTAAAACAAGTTTCCCAAGAAACAAATACATGTGTCTGACAATCCTGATCACATAACTCAAAATAACCACTACCATCAGTTTTTCATTAGTTTCATTCATTTTAAAAAGGTCTCTTTCAAAAGGCCCCCTTTGTTTCTTTAAAGGACCCCTGGATAAAGCTAATGAAACTCTCTCTTCGTTTGTGTAATTCAAAACATTAAAGCTCATCAATGCTGCTGCCACTCACTTGTAAATATGGAGTCGTCATCTTCGTCGTCGTCCTCGTCATCGTCCACGTCGTCGTCCTCGTCCTTGTACATGCTGGGCAGATCTTCGTAGTCTGACTCGTTGGGCATGTTCTCCTTGTCGTCCTCATAGTCGATGATCACAGACGGCACTTCTCGTCTGTCCAGAGGCATACACTGACCGCCGCCGTGCAATGCGGAGCTGGTGGAGTGAACCAAATCTGAGTATTAATGTAAAGGGTCATGCTTATGGCTATAGCATTGGGCCTTGCTAAGAGGATGAGCTTATTCGATCCCCCCTGACAGTAAAAGGGAAAAGTCCAGTTTAAAAGGGAAACCTCATATTTCAAGTCTAACTCTATATCATCTTTTTCCAGTCATCAAACATTATCTATGACCTGGTATTACTTAAACAATAACCCTCAATCCAGTAAAAGGAAGTGATTTAAAACAATAAAGGGGCTTTTGGTACATAATGATAGCTTAGTGGGTTTTTAATCCAAGTATAAAAGGAGGGGAGATATGAATACACACTGTGCAGTCCTACGCAATGTCATGCAATCCTTTGAACTACACAGAGGAGAAGAGTAACCGATTATACAACTCGTATAATTCAAAACAAGGTGATGAGGGAATAAACTTCACTTCCAGGAGCCAGTCACACGAGTTACCCGGCGATATATTTGATAGATTGATTAATCACAGTCTAGTTGGAGCTTCTTATGATGAGCCCCTGTTATGTAACCATTTCAGGCTTTCAGACTAATTGTAAGCCATGTCGGGACCATTACTTCCTTATCCCTGCCCAAATGGCTTTGGTGAAAAAGAGATCCTAATGTAAGAGGTTACGTAATATTCCAATCCGCTATCCTGTCCCTTTTTCTCCAAACATGAAGAAGTGCAGCTCTTGTAAAGAGCAGCTGGTCATGTTATGTCAGGCCAACTGCTGGAGGGACGCCTACTCCATGCGCCTGTGCCCACACATACACACATTTACTTCAAAATTAGGCCATGCTGCCCTGTGAGGCAGTGTGCTGATTTAGACCTGTACACCAGCGCTACATGGCAGGACATGACCTCGATAACACCGGGATAGATTTATTGGACAAGTCGCCGCAAAAATATAAGCTAATAAACAGGATGATCTACGCTAATTATAATGGAGTTTTTTCAGTAATTCCCCTTTGATTAGTGCTGTTTTGGCAACAGCTGTACATAAGTAGAGATTAATTCATTATAATAACCAGAGGCTCATCAAATAAAGGAGACATGTCACCAGGAAACTCTATGGCCAGTCAGTGTTATAGCTTGTGACAGTAGATCCATCTGTGTAATCTTTCAAATACACTCATATCATTCCTCAAAGTTTAGTCCAGCCAAGATATTATGTGTGATGTACAGACAGACAGAGATCCATAATCCCTCAGTGACCCCACTTGAGGACAATCACATTTAATGACCGGAGCGCTGATGGCTAACCAACCTTTCAAACCTCTGCATGGAGAGCGCCAGGGTTTTATTGAGCTCCTCGATGATGCGGCTGGGTGCGTGCAAGCTGCCGTACTGGAGCTGGAGCGGGTGACCGTGGCTCTGGTGAAGACTGGACAGACCGGCGAGCTGGGAGGGCAGCAGGGTGCCGTGGTGGGACGACATGCCCTGCTGAGGGACGCACTTTTGGGGGAGCCCGCTGAGGGGGTTGGGGGATGGAGAAGGGGAGTTGGAGGAGTCCAGCCCCCCTGGAGGCACACAAATCATCACTTTCTTGGGAGGCAGAGGTGGAGAGTGCTTTCCCCCAGGCATACAGGGCAACTTCATTGGCTGGCAAGAATCTAAAGAAAAAAAAAAAAATATATATATATATATATATTTATATATATCAAGTACAACAGGTCAGAAAGAGTGATTACTGATTATTTCCACTGCTGTAGTATATATCACATCCACTACAGTCTGCTGGTGCAGACAGATAAACAAAGCTCATGGACGATCAGACATGGCTCAGACGTCAGTGCAGAGTGGTGGGAATTAGGCCAGGGTAATGCCACTTCCCTGTACTGACAGATTGACAATGACAGAGAGAGCCCAGCTGACCCAACCACAGGGGAATTTAATGAGACTACTATAATCCTGTGCACATGTGTGGCAACGCAGGTAGGGTTTAAAGTAAAAACCAGCCATGGCTTAGCTGTCAAAGCAAGTCCCCTAATATGAGCATTTTACTTATACTGACAGTCTGAGGTAGTGGAATAAATGCCAGTGTGTGTGAATAGTAATTCATAGGAGTAATAAATACTCTAGTGGTTTGGAAAAAAGAAAAACCAACATAAAACATCATAGACAGATGAGATGAGAGTGGTGTAACCTGCTACTGAGCACTAGCTAAGACAAACTGACCTGTGCTATGGTTTGGGATCCTAGAGAAAGGCTTTGGAGGGAGAGCAGGAGGCTGTTTGTGGTACAGCGGCGGCTTGGCGGGGGTGTCCTGAAGGTCACTTGAGTAGGTGACCGATTTCTTGGTAGGCAAGACCATGGATGACTTAATAGAGGGCTCCTGAGTGCAGACTCCACCATCCATCGAGGATCGGAATTCAACGGTTGCTGAAACAGAGGGAGGAAACAAACAATCAGACAAGCGTCCAAAATGTCTTTCGACTGCACGAGAAAGACTGTTCAAAACAAAGTTTAAAATGAATTCGGGGGTATTGAGGTTTGAAACAATAGCGGAGGGAGAAGATTCGGAAAACTAAGACTGTTCAACAACCCGAGAGCCTTTTATCAGCACACCACAGACCAAGAAACAGTGTGAGGCAAGCAGCTTGACAGACATTTTGCTTTTTAAATCTTTTTACGGCGCTGAGCCATTTGATGGTTTTTGCATGATCACATTTTAAGGCTGACAGAGCAATTCACAATGCTGCTCACATATTCTGACAAACAATGCGTTTATATTGTGAGCTCTCCCCCATTCCGCAAATTTCATCTTGAATGAGCAGTCTTTAAAAAAAAACAAAACAAAAAAAAAACAAAAAAAAAAAACACAAAACATCAAGAATGCTTACGACCGTAAGATTTGGAGAGCAGGAGTCTCTAGACTTTTTAATATTCAGACAGTCTTACAAGAGATTTTCTTCTATCTTTCATAAAGGATATTCAAGTCATACATTGTTACCACTATGAATGCTGTCAAACGCATCAGCCTTCATAGACTTATTTTGAAATATGAGGATACATCTGATCGGTATCTCTAATTTTAGTCATGTTGACAAACTCTCCACCATTTAATTCTGAAAGAGACAAGTGACAGGGTTTGGCTGGTGTGCCAGAGTGCCTGTCAAAAGGTGGCGACCAGTTAAAGCCGATTACAATCCAGCAGCCAATCAGAGGGAAGATTGGAAAAAGGAAACACATTTTTGCTATTAATGGATTTTTTTTTTTTTTTTTTTTTTTTGCCCTTGCTGGGTCTATTTTTATTTTGAGCACGCCAAAACAGAATCAGTTTTAGATCTATTTATCATGTGATGTCAGTGCTGCTAACATAATACAGTCATCTTCCTGAGACATAGTAAATATTTGCCTTTCATGCATAAAAATAACTGCTCCTGATCTATCAAGCTGTGCACACAAGTTTTTTTTGTTTATTTTTTTGGATTATGGAAACTAGGTTGTCACAACCGAGTACACCTGCCTTCATTGATATGGATCCTGAGGAGTGGCACAGCAGAAACTGGAGATGCAGCTATTCACTTTATCAGTTTTGACCAATTAACTAGGCCGGACAGCATCTGCATGCTTACGGTACACACAGCCTGTGTGAAGTGAAGTGCTTGCACTCCCTTCTCTTGCACTCTAAGATAATTGTTTTAGCCCTGATTTCAAAGTTTGTTTTTACTTTTCATTGTTGTGCAAAAAAGCTTAATTTGTTAAAACAATAAAATGAACAAGGACGTGCATTTTCTCATTTGCTCTCTTCACATCTTGGCAAGAGTCAGTGAACTTCCTCGGCTTCGCTTACTTTGTGTTTGATGTCCTGAGGCATGGAGCACCCATGGGATGTCAAGTCAAGATCAAAGAGTTTATAAAATGCTTCAAAATTTCTATAATGAAAGATTATATCTCTTAATGCCCCGTGCCAAATCTTGAAGAGCGCACTTCAGAGACTACTGATTAATGAGGAGATGAATCACTGAAGACGTAATAACTCAGTTCACCATGTCTACTCTTCTAACAGCCGAGACGGTTTCCTGCTCAGTCCGCTCGTACTACTGTAACTGTGGAACATCAGCTCACCTTTTTCAAAGATCTCCTTCAGCACTCCTCTCTTGATCAGCTCATCTCTGCTCTGTCGCATTGACATCTTCCTCTCCAGCGCTGGGCGGGGGAAGGAAAGAGAGAGAGAGAGAGAAAAAAAAAAAAGTTGAAATCATTTTCATGTTGTAAGTGGTTATCCATTGAAATATCATGCAGGTGTTTAATCTTGGTGAACTCATTCGCTAAATTAAAGAAAGATTCACAATCTAAAATGCATTAATAAAAAGTGCAGATGTCCCCTGGTAAAATATTTTCTTCCAGATGCTCTGGTAACTTTTCACCTTTAAAAGGATTGTTGTTGTCAAAAACATATGAGCTCTTTGATAAAACTAAAACCATGTGTGTTCTTTACTGACTTATCCAAACATCACTGTATCTACAGTATATCATTGTTCTTGCTCATATGTGCAGTGTGCGGTGTTTTTAGTTTTTGTCTTTTATAGGACAAATCCCAGCACCTTCTTTTCCTGAAACAAGAGCAGCATTAAATCCTGGACTTTGCGATAAGAGATAATAATCTGTCAAACTGTGGCTCCTCTTCCACACAGTTAAAGCTAAAACTCTGGGCCTTGATTAACAAGAGGTAAAGAATAAAAGGAAATATTCCAGCAACGCTACTCATAGTAATGCATTATGCACAAGATGGCATGTCCCACAGCTGCTGCTTGCTTCTATTTTTAGGCTTCAAAAGCTGAGATACTTAACATCTTCTATTAGTAGGCTGAACGAAAGCAGTTTAAAAATCACGTTAGTAATTTCAAAATCTACCCCTGCATAGAAACCAATTAAGAATGTGAAATGAGGATCAGCAACAACACTTGAGCACACTGTGCAGGAACGTCCCCGCAGGCCTCTGTAGCTCCTGCTTGGGAGGGAGATCACAGATTGTGCCATGTGTGCTTTACATATGACCCAGGAGTCCTGTCCCAGCTCTATCAGGAGGCGGCGTGTTCAATGCTAATACATCCTCGGTGTGGATTCATGAAAATACCGCAAGGTTGACCTCTCTTTTCCTTGCCCTTGGTCACAGCACAGTTGATTTAAAACCAACTGCTGAGAGCTCAAAATTAAAACACAAACCAGAGTCATACAAATGTCAGACGGACAGGCCTCCGGGGCAGAAATTTGGATCCTCTTGTGCTTCAGTGTTCCAAAATACCACAGCAGAGCGAGTTATCATCAAACAGTACGCTCCATTATGAGGATACCAGATGTTCGATATCACGGCATACTTCAAAAGTTGTTTTTTTTTCTGTTTGAGATGAGCTCCAAGCCACAAATTACTTAAGCAGCAAAACATTTTTTTTTTTTTTTTGGAAAAATACATGACCAAAATATCACCAATGTGTCAAACAAAGAATTAACTCCACTAGAGCCTGAGGGAGTATTAACCTGAAGATTGCGTGAAATGAAAGGAAACTGTGCCATTTTCAGACGCTACTTGGGATGCTAATGCAGGCAGCTCAATCAAAAAGCGATTTCCCCCCCAGAGGCAGCGAATTTAACAGGAGGTAAAGTGTATCAAGTGAGATGGTCAACAGAATTATCAAATAGTCAACCCAGAATCAACGTAGAGGAATTCTTTTCTGCAGCCAGTTTACGAGATAGTTTCCCTGAAGCACCACAGGCATCAAGAGGTGTTCAGGCACCACACGTTTCACTCCCCCTGCACCTGTGCGTTCTCAACCTTCATTACAAATTACAACAGTTGGGAATATTGAGGGTTTTCTATCAATAACGTCTGCCCGTTGAGCAGTGTCTGGAAAAGGAGAAAAGTAAACCTTTTGGAATCAAAACTAGAAATCTTTGCACCTTGGCAGCTGATTCTCATAAAACTCCCATCACCCTCTTCAACCGAGAAGCGATGACTGTGCTTTTGACGGCTCGTGTCAATATCTGAGAATTTTTTAAGTCTTTTTTTTTTTTGTGATGTACATCATTAAAATATGCGTGTCACAATACATTCAGTCTGAATTCTCATCCCTGTCTGATATAGATTATGAATGACAGTTAAATTTTTATAATCATGGGTCTCATATTCCTTTCTATTTCATCTGTGTTACCTCTTGTCATTAAATCTAAAGCCTTCAGTGAGACAAAAAAAATCTTCAGCGACTTCAATTAGACCTTTTCACATCTCTGCTGTAAAAAAAAAAGAAATCGCATTATTTGTCAGTATTGCGGCTGACAGACACAATGTTACTCAAAAGGAACAAACCTATGTGTGTGAAAAAAACCATCAGCACCAACTCTTTGCCAAAGCGGGGAAACCCTAGGCTGCAGGTCGACTGGCAGTGCTGTAATATGTTCACGGATTATGCTGCTGTTTCATCCAAAATGAAAAGTAATTACTCAAAAGCTTTATGACGTAACTGCTACTCCATGGGATGTGCACAGTTACGCAATACCATTAACTCAGGAGCCCTAACGAGGATATGTCTTCAGATTTGACAAATATTGCGCGCTTAAAACAAAACAATGAGGAATGAGGTGAGCACAGTGGTTGGTGCATTGGCCAAGCATCGGATCCAAGTTAAAATAATGGCTGGTCTTGCAAAAAAAAAATAAAATATATATATATATATATATATATATATATTTTGTTTAATATTTAATGAGCGCATTAATAGTGTGCAAGAAGTGGAATTTTGTGTTCATTTCATCAGGAAGTTCCTGTGAGGGCCATACAGAAGAAAAAAAAAAAACAAACAGATTCAATGCAGATAGAACTGCCACTCACAAAGATTTATTTTTGATTCCAAGACGAATTGCCTGGGTCATTAGAGTAGCAAATCATCAGCTATGAGTTTGATAATGAGGTCTGTTATTTGTGCGTTATGGTGCAGAGCTGAGGTTACAGGCTTGTCAGTACACAATGCCATCTTTCATATCCGTGTATGAAAAAGTAGATGCTGCCCTCTAAATCACCTTGAATATCAACCAAGTCCTATTTTAGACCGCCTGTGTTCAAGTGGCCCAAGTACTGTCATGGTCCAACACTCCAGCCACTCAATCTGTACCAAGATGAGAAGATTAGACACTCATCAGGGAGTATCAGCTGAGAGAGCATATTAAATGAAACTGGCATATCTAAGTATAGTCTGTATTGATCTGAGAACACTACACTTAGTTTTTCTTCTTTTTTTTTTTTTTTTGAGAAAATATATTCCACTGCGAAGTGACCCAGATAGTCAGAACACATCCTACCAACCCTGAGGCTCAGTAGCTCAAAGTGGAGGCTTTTAACTGTATTAAAACTTTCATGGAGTCTTTCATCAATGAGAAGCTCAAGCGTTAAAGGCTCACACATCAGAAGATTAGATATGGCTAAACAAAACCTTACTGTGCACGCAGCAGGTTTGGAATGAGACATTTGCCTCTCCATATGATATATAATCAATGGGCAGGCAGCAAAGCTACAGATTTTGTGTTAGAAATGATGCAAATAAACAACAGTGCATTTAGAAATCCGCTAACTAATTGGATTAGAAATAAAAACGAAGATAACATCAGACTAACACATGCATGTTCTTTTGATGAATCTCTGCCTGATGATCTTTCCTCCTGATACAAGCGCGCTGTGATAATGTACCGAATCATGATAAGACAGCAGGATGAGACATCCAACTGTCAGGCCCTCCCTCCTTCCTTCCTGAGGTGAAGAGTACAGTCCCCCAGAGCTGGCCTTCATCTGCTTAATATCACAACACATTCATAATCCTCTACTGTGCTCAGTGTCCAATTATCTACGACAACATCTGTATGCCCAGTGGCTGGTCTGCTCCCCACTGACACAGGAAACATAATCAACAGTGAAGCACCACAGTCAACTGCAGAGACGAGAGGAGAGTACGCAGGGGCATTTAAGTGCAAGATCAGAGCAGTGCAGCAGGAAATCACGACTGCACACTTCCCATCAACTTTGTCTTCAGTGAGATCAATGTAAACTGCTGCGGTACAGGACAATTTTCCTGCTGAAAAGGTTGACAAATGACCAACAATACCTCCTTATACCTCCTTGAGATTCCAAACAGAGGCTTTGCCAGCTGACAAAATACTAACACAAGTTAAGTATTAGTCATAATACGTGGCAGCAATTTTCTTATATCTTTTAAAATGAGGTCATCCCATTTCAGGCTTTAAGGGTAAACAGGCGGCCATCTTAGCGTCGATTAATTAAATGAGGGCAAATGCAAAACAGTACGTGCAATGTTCCATTTTAAAAAAACACAGATCAATAGTGGAGCTATGGGTCAGCCAAAGTCAATCCTGTTTCCGAGATGAGATGAGCTGAATTTTCTTCCTCTAAAAAACTATCAAAGTAAGTACACGGTGCTATCTCTAGGCTAATAATGTGTTTACATGTACAGAACTTCTTTCTCCATATATTTTACAGATTTGTTTTTCATTGCTCTGATCTAAGATGTTGTTAGAAAACATCCTCAAGTAAGCCTTCTCAAAGTCAAATCTCCACTTCCACTGTGTTTTCAGAGATTCCTACATACCACTGGACCCACAGCTAGTGCTGTTCAAACCATGGAAAGGAATATATTCCCTGATACTTAAGACACCCAGCTTGATCATGGATACCAAAACACATTACCCAGTGTTTAGAAAATATTGGAAATACGGTTTTATGGCTGGCTTGCAAAACTTTTAAAACACAGATGGTTTTACAGTTTTGTATTTGTATTCCATCATAAAATAAAAAAAAATCTGCTTTCATTAGTCAAGGAATCTGCAGTCTTTAAAGCAGAGTTTATCAGTTTGGCTGCAGCTGAACTACAAAAAAAATATACATCTTATAAAGCTAAAAAGGCTAATGTGTGCCAACAGTTGCCTATTTAGACAACGAGTGTGAGCATTAGCAACAATTTGGAATTGTATTTACATAAAAACTCACCAACTAATATCTGGCACTAAAAGCCTCACTGTGTTCACCAGGTAACTGTCTGCCATTTTATGCTAAGCAGGTGGCACACAGTGTTTTCTTTTTAGCTTTCTTTTTGACTGAAAACAGCCAGACCCTGTTGCAGCTGGTAAGTAGGTTGATGAGAGTGTTAGGAGTGAATCAGAACAGTGAGGTGTGGGACCATAAAAACCAAAACAATGAGCTCAAAGATGCTAAAACGCTCTGAAGAGCTGAAGGGAAGCTGCAGAGTCTGGTGATGATTCTCTGTGCGTTCGTCACTGCAAGGAAACCATTTCACATCACACATACGGTACATCGACATTTGAGCAATTCTTCATATAAAATATTGATTAGTATAACTTTAAAATCACCATAAAAATGCTGTCGACTTAGCCGCCACCCCCTGTCATTTGAATTTACTGCACTGGCTCATCACCCTGTCACCACCTGCTGCACAAATGCAGCCCACATTCCACTTATTTGGGTCTTTAAAAAGTGGGTTCATACTTAATGCTGAAATGCATGCGACAGTGTGCGTACATTTGTGGTGGTGTCGTCACTGTGGCTAAAGCGCCTTGCCCCGAGCACCGGAGCTACTGTACATCACCTGCAACTTGAAACAACGCAGAAATTCCACTTATAGGAGGCTGCTCCGGTGAGATATACTGATAGATCATAACCCACCGTCATGCTGCTATCAAAATGGATTGAACAGAACAATAGAAGCAAAAGAATTATTTTGAGACAGCGGCATCGCGCATACAAAACAAGTGGATAACAAAAGCGATAGAGAGAGCTTTTCCACTCGGCCCCACTGTGCATTTACACCATTGTAACAGGAAAAAAAAGGATTTTGTTGCTCAGTATTTGATTATTGTCCCTCACCACAACAGGGTAGGATGCTGTTATCATAGGGCATACACAAATGTAACAATCAACATCTCCATGATTGCTCCATCAAGTACACTCTCTCTATTAAAGTACAGTAAAACATTAAAAAGTCAAGCAACTAGAGCTCACAAATGTATTTCGTCAGCACTTTTGTGTCTTACTAAAAATACCACTTAGTCTGGGGATGTTGCTGAAGAGCCAGGGAGACCGTGTTGGGGAAGAAATACAAACTAGAGCCAAACAGCACTGCGGGAACAGTGAAAGCCTAGCTGAACGGTAACATCAGCCGAAGCGTCAGAAAACATGTTTTGTGCTTGTATAAAGTGATGGAGATGACGAGACATCACATTAGCCCCTCTAATCGCACATGACTGACAAGATCAGCAGTAAGAGAGCAGTCACGGAAAACCTGATCAAATCAGACAGAGACTGATTCATTCAGCAGATTCACACCAGGAAAATGCTAATTCAATTACGTTACTAAATCGGAACATCCTGTCCTGCTCGGACCAGATTGAGGTCCCCGTGCAACTGCGCATCCTCGACAAAAAGCAAGAATTCTGCTCCCAGAGAAGATGCAGTCTGACAAAGTCCCTCCTCCCCGTCCACCAGGCTGACAGCAGAATTCAGGATGCGTCAGCCAAGGAAAATAAAATACAGCCACATCTGAAGAGAGTATGTCCTTCACTCGCCCCTGACAACACTGGGCTGCAGGATCAAAGGAACTCTAAAGAGACCTCAAAACATGAAACTCCAACGCTGCACTTTTGCTGAATCAATTTGCTGCATTTTCAATCACCCTGGAGACTAAAACTTAATACATTTTTCTTTTGACCAAAGGATATGCACTGACTTTCTTTCATAACAACACAGGGTACATACTTAAAAGCGCCATGGTTGTTTGTTATGCATATGGCACCTACATGTGTTCCTATTAACATAAAATTAGGGAGAAAAAAAAAACAAAAACTCCTGTACCAGCAGAAGTCTGCTTGAATTTCTCACTCTTCTTCTTCCTCCATTTCCAGGGCTTCAGGAGACGTCCCAGAGTGGCAAACTTGCTCCGTCGACGGATAGGTGGAGTGTGGGTGCCAGAGACCAAGGACTCAGAACGCATGGCGGCCAGCCTCTCTACTTCCTCAGCTGTAAGGGAAAAGAAAAAAGACAGTCTAATTAAGGTTAAGATGCAGAGGAGGTGATATTCTGATAATCATACAGGAGAACCAACAGTGAATGCAGCAGACACTTTTGCTTACAAAGATCCAAGCAGCAAGAATCTGTGCCAAGTGGCCTCCTGCATTCCCTAGTAACTGGATGAGGTTGAGAGAGGATAAACAAACCTGCATATCACATTACGCAGGATACGCTCTGAGTACGGTTTGAGGCTGCATCACACAGAGTGGTTGGCACTAGCTTGCCAAAAAACACTAAACAGACTGATAAGCACCTCATTAAGGGAGAGGGAGGGGTCTTTCTGCTCTTCATCAAATATTCACAAGGCCTAGTCTTTTTACGTAGCATTGGACATCAAAGGCAAAAAACGTTGAGTATTTTGTTCTAAGAAACTACTACATGAAAAAGTCAATACATGCTATGTTTATAAGACGCAGCAGTACAAGGCTGCAACAAACAGCCAGGGCACACACAAACTCTGGCAACAAGGGGCCCATGTGATCAGAAAACTAAATCTGAAAAGGTGTCAGCTCCAGGCAAATGATCATAAAAAGATATTCAAACATAAAGTTCTGACTCAGACTCACCAGATTTTGTGTGAACGCTGCTAGCAGCGAATAGACTATCAGGAGCTTTTAGACATGGAACTCTACCCTGTTCTCCTTACTTCTTTAATGACCACATTCAAGCTGCAGACCCATAGCAGTGTTTTAAATTTCCAAATGCATGTCTACTATCTACTGTACCTTCTAGGCAGCCTCTGGTTTTCATTATGCTGTATGAAAATCAAGTTGCCTGAGATGGGTAATCCATCCATCCAATGTCTGCTTTTATCACAGTGTGGCAAATGTGCAGACTTTTCAAGTCAGTCTGCATGGGCAAACATAACACAGCAACAATAACACAGTCTTGCATAGCCAGACGTGAAGGTTTCTGGCCTTGCTTAATGTTAACCTACCACAATAAGAGCAGACAACTTTTATTATAATGGATGAACTCACAAAGCCTGTCCTAAATGAATGGAAACCAATGGCTTCCTAAAAGGGAAAACAAAAATCACTCACAAATCTATGTACATGTGATTTGCTATGCCATAAAAAACATATACATGGTCCTTCAAGTATAAACATAAAAACAATAGAGTAGAAAAACTAAAAAAAAACAACAGAAATGCAGAAAAAAAAGTTACCATGGCCGCCCTGTAGTCTGAGTAACAACTCCATGGTGCTCCAGTACATGTGAAGTGACCTCGAGCACAACGTGTGTCTGTTATCAGTATCACCACACTGCGTCAGGTCATCACCCTTGTCATTCTATCAGGGAATGCGCTGGTTGCTTTGTTTTTAAACAATTACATCACATTCATGATGTTTGCCAACACAGATATATCACACTGCAGGACAGTCACCTCCCCCGAGGGCCAAGGGACGGCAGCTTGATAGAGAATGTGACAGTAATGCAGCGGAAATCAGTCCCACGGACCATTACTTGAATGCTCTGGTGCCTCAGAGCCAACCATCTTGGCAATCCTGCCACCACACCAAATCTATAAATAGCTCTACAGTCGATGCTAATTGAATCCAGTAGAGATTCAAATAGTTCATTAGAAGTCGAAAAAAGCTGGATAAAGACAGGAAGACATCCAAACAGCCGGGAGACAACAGAGAGAGCGATGACAATGACACGTTTTTGTAACGTCAATAAAAGAACATCTTTCCACAACATCAAACGCTTCTTTGGAGGCTACAAACCCTCCACACATCACTGAAATATGTATCCTACTGACAAAAGAAGCGAGCTTTTGAAAGTGATTTTTGGTGTGTTCTGTGAAGATTAACCCTCTTCTCTACCCAAAGGGTTTGTGTGTCTGTACTGGTTCAAAAAGCTCATCATCTTGAGGAGGAATTAAACACGTACAGTACAATTCATAGATGTAAAACACTGTTTAAAAGTAAGATGATGAAAAAAAAAAAGGACACTTATTTGATACTCATGTTAATCTGTTTGATAAATGATTATGTGTGATATGGTATTGCTGACTGTATCCATGTGTGTAACAAAGATTTGGTCAATGTAAGGACACGTATAGCCATGTAGTTATGATCCAGACAATGTAGCAGAAGTCTGAATAAGTTATAATTAAAGGTAGGCATTATAAGCTTTAGCTTCAGCCCACACCTTTTTCAGTTAAACTCTATATCATCCTGCATTATTGTTGATGATATATTACGTTTGAAACAGATGTACATCGGTACTGTTATGCATGTCTACTTTCTTTTGTGTTTTCTTTCCTCTGCTGATTTTGTTTGATTGTTTTTTTTTGGACTGAACCACTTCCAGGCAGCAAACACCAAACCAGAATATATATACAATCTTGACTAAACCCCCCCTGGCAGGGCTCAGTATGGAAAATAAAAGGAAAAAGCGGAAAAGAAAATCCTCTTCCAAGTATCCAAACAAGGGATCGTGTTCATGACATCAGGCTCACACCACACTACAGCATTTCTATCCCATCTTCACAGTGTTGTGTATATAACCTACTTTTCTCCACTACATGTCATACAAGCAATTGATGGGGCTGGTTTTAATTAAAAACACTTGTTTGCATACCAAGATGGCTGAGTGATGATGTAATGACACTGAACTGGAAATGGCTTTGTGCAAACAGCCTGCACAGTTTCATGTCTTTTTTTTTTTTTTTTTTTTTTTTTTTTTTTTTTAAATGTCATCTATAGGATAAATAAAGGATAAAGGCTTAAATGATCCCTCAAATGAAGAGTGATTCAACAACATTTTTTTTTTTTTTGTGATGCAAAACCAAACAAGCAGCAGTTTCAAGTATGAGCCCAACCCTAGGAGAAGTTCTGATCCAGTCAGAGGCAGTTTCCACAACAGCGGCAGTGAATCACTCCGGTTTTATGTTCTCAGTGCTATGAGCTTACATAGCCTACATATCGACCTACTTAAAAAGACAGAATATTATCACACAAGCAGACAGATGTAGTAAGAGTGAAATCAGCGATGGAACGGCTGATGATGAGGCTGTCATAGGAGCCAGAGGCATGGCCATCGCTAGATTAGATGAGTGTATCCTGGATGGCAAGTACCGCAGGACTACTATGGGCGAAACCGCACAAGGCTTTGAGCACGGAGCCTGTGATATACTCACCGTCCTGTGTGTCGTTCCCGCGGCTGCAGTTGCTGCAAATGTGCTTGATCTCTTTCCCGATGTGACAGTGGATCGTAAAGGGCATGTTGTTGTTGTGGTGCGGATACTGGCCGTGCCCTTTCTTGTTGCTGAGAGACATGATTTTGACCAGGCTGAACGCCTTTTTCTTAGGTTTCTCCACCGCCACGGGCGTGTTTTCTCGGCACCCCGTGGCAAACCAAGTGCCGTGCATGATGGTGGGCGCGGGATCCACCGACGGGTAATTGACCGTCTTGAACATGATTGTGGGAACGCGGAAAACGGAGCTCAGTGCGCGGCGTTAAAACACGGTATGGACTTCAATTAAAGGGCCATCAAATTGAATCCTACCTGACCTACAGCGGCCGTTTCCATTGACCCCAAATCGGTCGCTTCTCTCTGCTGTTGTCCCACACCTTTACCTGAGAGCTAATAGGTTGCGCAATGCCAAAGTCACTGCTGCTGAGAAAAAAAGCCCTGCTGCCAGATCCAAGTGAGCTAATAATAAAAGAGAGGGTGAGTAGTGAGTGGCAGTGACTACCTCTCCCTCCCAGAGCCGTAGACTGCAGTCGGTTGTAGCTAATCCACGATTAGTGGAGCTGAGCAGTGAGTGCCTGTGATTGGCTGAACAGTGCGCGCTTCTAATAGGCCAGTGTACACGGAGGAAAAGTTGCTTATAATAATAATGATTCCAATCACTTTTTTTTTTTTTAGCAAGTTACATTATATGACAGACCCTCTCTATTCTTAACAGCAAATACAACAACAAAGCAGTACTACTATAACCACCACTGCAACGTATAAGCATATTGTTTGCAAAAACAAGCTTTTGGTGTCTAGATTTATTAAAAAATAAAAAATAAACATAAAGTAAAAGGGTAGAATGATTAGCTAGATCAGGAAGAATGAAAAGAAACGAGGCAATGGTTAAAAAATAATTAGATGGACAGTTTGACCATAAAATGGAGTAGAGCATACAAGGGAAAAAATAGACAATCTGGCAAGTGCATGAGAGGATGAAAATACTGATGACACTGTTACTGATTTGGTTAACCTGATTTCCTCAAGCAGATCATTCCACAGTCATGGCCCATTGTGGTCTATACTTGTGACACTTTAACAAAGTGTAAAAAGAAGAGGACTGGAACAAAATGCGAAACCTAAGAGCCCGTGTGGATAACAGGTTGGCAACAATAATGAAGACATTCCTTTTGAAAAGGTAATGGAAATGAACTATGTTAAAACAGAGTCAGTGACACCCTTCAGGTGCTTAAGACGCTTGATTAAAATGAGATGTAAAAGCCATACTGAGGTCTAAAATTATTCAGATTTAGCAGCTTCCTCTTGTATAGGGTTAGGGTTAGTGCAGTATTTAAAGCTCCAAAACCAGACTATAGTTAATTGTGAGTTGATGAAAAACTTTCTGTTCAAAATAAGCAGTTTAGAGATCTAAAGCTAACAAGCTGATTAAGCACGGCTGATTGTTATTGGTGGAGTATTGGTTGCGGACACAACCCTACTCTAAGTAACATATGTAAATCAACTTTATCCACAAATGACACCACTGAACAGAAAAATTAAGGGTATGTCCTTAACATGTATTCACGCACTCACTGATTACAAAGGCTAAAGGAGGGAAAATCAGAACAACAAAGATGAAAGCAACAATTACAACATCTATCTAATGTGGGCATAATAACAGACAAGAGCTCAGAGAATTAAAATCAAAGAAAAGAAACACAGCAATGGGACCTTAATCAGTGATCAGAAAGCTCAATACTTCAGATGAGAGAGCTCAGCCTAAAGTAATAGAGAAGCATTAAATATTCTTTCTTTACATCCCAAATTCCAAACAGCCACTCAGTTGATCCCTGAAGTTACTGTGCACATTTTAGGGTAATTGATAATATTAATGAGGTGTTAATCATTGGAGAAGATAACGGACCCCACGGCATTTCCAATCACGTTTCCTACAGAGCAGTGAATGGTCGTGGGCTGGGGGTGAGTATCTTTGATGTTCCTTCAATGAGCTGCAGCTTATTCCAGTGACATCAAAGCCCCTCTCTGAAATGAGGGACAGAGGCACTTGATTTACTCCCACCACGGTGCAATGCAGCAGTCGCCCTCAGTTGGCTCCCTTCTTTTTTTGGTGAAAAGTTTCACTCGTGCATAGATGTTTGTTCAAGTTTTGGAAACAAACGATGAAGAGCTATTTTTTTATGTGTTGGCAACAAAGAGTCAGAGGTTAATGGATTAAGGAATGACAGTATTTGCCATGCATATCACTACAGCAAAGTGTGGCTGTGTGTGTGTGTGTGTGTGTTTGTGAGAAAGGGAGAGTGAAAGAGGCTTTAAACTCTCAAGAAATGTGTGCTCTTGCTGCACCACCAGTTTTACAAACAAGAACTGTGATATCTTTTCTCTTTCTGTTTACTGCCATCCATTCACTTTATTCTGCCTATAGACATTAAATTTATCTTAAAATGAGCTTAAATCAAATGTGTTTTTGAATTATTCTCAAAAGTATGTTGACATGTACGGGTGCACATCTTGTAAAGCTCTAGGCTATGTACCTAAGCCTCAATTTCCCATTAGATAATTCTTACAAGAATCAGGTAATTAAAGCTACAAAACAGGTTGTTTGTCGGCTGCAAGCGGAAATGGTCACATGTGGCAATTTGGTTATGTAACTGCTGTGTCAGGCAGTTCTGATCAGCTCCGTTTGGGTTAATTCATAAGGAACGGAGGAAAGAAATTAATGCAATGAGATATAATAAATAACAACAATAAGAAGAAGAGTAACAGGAAACCCAGATTTAATCAGCTGACCACAAATGATGTCCTTTCTGAAGGAGAAACCTAAACTCTTTTTGCTGCCACCTTTCAACATACAGAGTGTTTGATACTCATACTGAAAACATTTTTTTTTCTAGTGTATCACATTAAAACTTATTTATTCTTACTGTCCATTCTCACATTTGTTATCCATCTCACTGCTAATGCCCCTCATGTGTTGAAAAGGTGTGAAGAACCGATATTAAAGGAGCTATTTGTAAATTTTGCTAATGCTACATTTGCATTAACCTGTGTTTACTTTGCAGTCTTGGCAAGAGCTTCAGTCATTGTTGTGTTTACAATAAATAGACGCTACAGTGACTCAGTATCGGAAAGTGGTCCAGCTGGACTTGAGGTTAGCATGCTAACTTAGTAGAAGAAAAGAAGTGATAGGCAAAACAAGAGTTAACATTAGCGTTGATTTCAACGCTGGAATAAATGAATAATGTTTGATTCTGAACTTGCGATGTTTCTTCAAAACTAGTAAGTAAGCAGCTGTTAATGCTAATGTTAGTTATGTAGCAATAGCAAAATTTAGAAATAGCTTCTTTAAGCCTTTGATGTTTGACTTATTAAATGGTATATATGGGATTCATATTGAGTTATTATGAGTCTATTATTGGATTTATTTACATCTATAAACCTACTGCAGTTTTTTGTAACTTTATAACTTTTTCTTAAATTATTTTCTATACTCCTATTTCACCCAATGATCTCCATGGTCAGGGATCTACTTTAGTGTGCCTTTTTTTAGATAAGCTGGCTCTGCTGTGACCACTCAGTATATATGTAATCATTGAAGCTATGTCAAGTTTATACTGAGGTAAATGCTAAAATCCAAGACTCCATGTTTTTATGGCTGCACTACTCTATCAGATGGAAATGTTTTCCATGTCCCATGTGTCATTTTATACTCATTTCCCCCTAATTCAGTCTGACATATGTGGTATTTCTGGAAACTTTTACATCTCCACTAAAATCTAAAAGTTTTGTGGGTTTAAACACTTTCATGATTTTGTAATGACTGATCCACCTATGAGTCAGTCAAGTTTTAGTTGTTAAACTTAATAGTTAACAAATGGAAAGAACACAAATTAATTCAATTAAGGTCAGACCTAGTGTTCATCCTGCCCTGACCACAGAAATCATTCCATTACAATACAGTTGTAGTGTCAGCCCGCCGACATGTCGCCTACCCGACTCTTCCTGCCTTTGAAGAAATTCATTTGATTGCATGTCAATGGAGTTTGTGAGGTTTATGCGGTCTGCTTCAGAGACATGTCCATAGAACTTTTGTTTGAAACTTTGACTAATTCAGCATAAAATCCTGGGATCAGCATGGTTTTCAAAATCTAAGTATACTTTTCCTGTGGTTGACAACATACCTGACACTTGTCACAAACTGTCGCAATAAACTGAAACTGACAGAGTCAACTCGCCCAAAGCTGCTTGGAAGTATTTGGAAGTCCTGTGTGACTCACATCTGATGGATCCGCTCTCACACAGTGTTGTTGCTATGAAGCTTCAGTAGAGGTTTTAATGTATCACTAAAAACCAGGGGAAAGTGTGTATTCTAGTGCACGTATTAGAACAGATTTGAGATGAACTGTAAATTGGTTAACATTTTACTTGAAAGACAGTCAACAATGCGTTTATTTTAATATCTTGGAATCTGGTTAGAACTGGTTGCCATGGATGTGGTGCAGGTTTTAGGCTAAACAATTGTACAACTTCCGACCAAGCAGCCTGTCACTACAAATCTGCTGTTCCCGTTCTGCCTGTGTCTCTCTGTCTCTTCCCATCTGTCATTCTCTCTCTGCATTATTATCTGTCTTACTGCCTCATAGTTACACACATACACATACATACACTCAGACTCACACACAAACACACACAGTGCCACATGTCCTTACCACAATCTGAAAAAGAATTAATACAATGGTAAAAGTTCAGTGCTTTTCCTTTCGCACTTTTCTTATTCGTGTCTGTGGGGAAATGTGAATGATAGTTATGCAATTTTAATCTGTAAGGAGAATAATTCCTCACCAGTTTTCTTACACAGTTCTTGGCTCCACCTTCAGCATTAAGCTCAGTTTTCCTCCTGACAGGCAGCAGAGTAATGTGACATGATTATGTAAAGTCTACAGACTGCAGCACTTCAGAAGTGAGGACATAGAGCAAGAGACGGACAAATGTTAAAGAAAAGTGAGACAGAAAAATGTACCCACTTGTTTTTTTGTTGCTATTTTTTAAGTTGTGCATGTTGACAACTTTCCCTAATGACATTGATAGGCATTGTGAATATTATTCTGCTCAGCTCCTGAAGCCAACAGAAAATGTTCACATAGTTCTGCCGCAGACTGTCGAGGACTGTGGTCAGATGCTTGGGACTACACTTCCAGAAAGCTGTAAACAGATGATTGCTCGCTTTTCATCTCTGTTATAATTCTCTGGGGCCTCTCTTTCCCCCTTCTCCTCTTGTCTGTGTTGTCCAGTCTCAATATCTTTTTTCTGTACTGTTTAATATCAAGTTTACAGGAATAAACACAATGTATCAGGTGCTAATCTGATATGTTGTGTGTTATAAGGAATAGTCAATGAAAAAATGTCACAATTACACTCAATATGCTGTTTGAGTCTTCCAGCATGGTTTAACAGTCTTGCTTATTTCTAATGGAAAATAAACAGTACTGACATTTTTTTTTCAAGTGGTAT